TCTAGAGAAAGCAACACATAAGTACAGCTGTGTATCAATTGCATCATCCATCATCCCCTTACCTGGAGTAATATTCTAGGAGTAGTTCAATGTCCAGCTTCATGGCGAATAGCTTTTCTGGCACCGTTCCCTCAGGCAAATGCAGTTGGCAGGCTTTTATCTCTAGCTCCCTGATGAGGAAAGCAAATGGGAAACACGGCCCGGATTCACAAAACTCTCGAGCCAATAGTTCAATTTTTGTAAAGAGCTTTACACTGCGTTCCTGTGCTGTGCCGGGACCCTCGACGGCGCTATTAATTATATTTCCCCATACGGACTCTATCAACAAGGGATCATTGTGATTGGAGCAATTGAGAATGGACAACTGGCACTCCCACAGATTGAATGGCTCAGCGAAGTTCTGATACAATTGTGTGATATCATAGAGTGCAATATTCAAGTCCTTCACAGCCTGTCTGGCAGCTTCATTTGTAGGTAAAAGCAAGGACATCGCTGCAAGCACAGACTTTTGAACGCGCGCAATTTCCAACTAGATACACAAATACAGAATATAAATATATGCATATGCACGTGAAATAGGACTTGCTGACCTTATCCTCCAACTCCTTTAGGAATATGCCATTGGTGACGGATGAGCCAACAGTTTCATTGCGCATACACATGACAGCGCGCACCAGATAGTCAATACGCACATCCAAAGATATGTTCTCAGTCCTCGTCATGGCCAAGTTATCGAGAATCTTCGCTGCTTGATGATGGTGTCCATTCTTCTCGTAATACTTCCAGAGTAAGTCAATTAATTTGACATTCTCTGGATTGCGACCAACACTGCGTCGTAAGAATTCGCCCAACGAGGGCTCAGTCAAATCCAATAATTCGCTGTTCATTTCGTGGGTGAGCAACCACTCATAGATCGCGACATGCAGTAGTGGATCTTTCTTTCGGAGTGCCTGGTTTGTGATCTTTTTAATAATTTGCTTTGATCTGTTTTCCATATCATTTTGATCCTCCGTTTCATCGTAATTTGGCTGAAAGAGTCGACTATGATCCTGATCGCACTTGCTGTTACGAACCGTGTTGTACACATAATCAAGCATATTCTGCACCTCCTTGTAATAGTTCATACTGCAAGAAACGTAAAATATGGTTTAGTTCGACTGAAGCTTAGCAGATATAGCTAATCCTAGTTTACCGTGTCACAAAACAAGCGTAGCCCTCGTGATCCTCAGCCGGCTCATTGTTATTGTAATAATGAATACCGATCTCCTCTGGATCCGTTTTCGAAGCACACGTGGCAGCTAGCTCAACAACTCCCTCAAAGAAATCAACCGAAATGAATTGCTGGCAAATGCTGTGCAGTGGTAGCGTTGGCGCTGCCTCTAAGCACATTCGCAGTGTGATGGCCAGTTTTTGTTGCTTGTCCGCTGCTGACTTACAGCTCTTGGCACTCATCAGTATTTCGGTGGCCTTATAGGTCACCTCATCCTCGTATCTGTAGAGATTCGGGCAGAGTTTGCGCAAGCTGGCGGACACCTCTGCAACATCAGCTTTGTCCTTCAGGTATAGATTGATGAGCGCAATGATCAGAAACGCGCACACCTCAGAGCGTGCTATCAGCAGATCCCGGAATGTGCAACATCTTAACATTTTCTGATGCTCCGGCGACAATTGTTGGCAAAGCAATTGAAATTGATGGTCAATGAGGATGCTCCACAGCGACATTACCTCACAAGCATGTTCTACAAAGGATTATAACGAAGATTAGAACTATTTTATCGAAGCTGGTATCGTAACTTACTGATAAACTGATTTAGAGCGGACAGCGAACGCTTCTCCTCAATCTGTGCCTGCTCCACAATGTTCCGATGTTCATTGAGTGGCATTTGGGTACTGTTCAGTAGGGCAGCACTCGATCTGCCCAAATGACTGTCATACGGCATTCGTCTTGTTACTAGAAATAATAATAGTATTCTATTATAGGCATACGTTAGTTCGAATCAAAGTTGAGCCATTAGTTTACCTGAAAGATCATGGACCGAGTGCTTGTCTAAAAACGAGCGCAACGCACGCAGTTCGGATAATAGCATCGAGCAATCGGATAAATTTATCTTCGAGCACATATTCTCATCAACACAATGTGACTGCCAAATGGAACGCAGCATGCGCGACACAAATAAAAAGAGACCATCATGCTTCGCTGAATATATAATTGGAGAGTTCTCATTGCTGGGCATCGAGTGCTGTTGTTGCTTTTGTGTGAAGTGCTGTTGCTGCTGATGTGTAGTTTGTGCAGCCGAAACTGTAAATAAAAGTGCAGATATTGTTTTATAATCAAAAAGTTATCTAAATGGCTCCCATATATACGCACAGCAAATCATAGATTATGTTTATAATGGTCACTTACTAGGACTTATTGCCTGATTGTATTGACTAGTCATTGCGCCCATATTTGCAGCATTTGGCATAGGTGTGGACATGAACATCGGCGGCATTCGATCTCTGCCAGTCAGGCCAGGGTTTGTGCTGATGGTGCTATTGTGCAAATTGCGATTGGTCGAATTTAGATAGTGTTGATAGCAAGGCTCTCCGCCGTACAGCATAAATGCTTGAGTGGCCCATAGGGCAATATCGCTGCCATTTAACATATCCGAGGTGGCCAACAGCAACGCAGTAAAGCAAGCCTCACGCTCATTCTGCGTCTGAAAGAACATTTTCACAGCCTCATTGTGGGGCCCCTTGCAGGATATCAGCAACTGCTGAAGAATATGAGCAGACTTCATCAACTCCACAATGTGTGTACCTTGATTGGTGAGCAAAATGACTTTACGCGATGTGCGCGCATTATGCAGTAACGAGTTCGTATTGTCCAGAATCGCATCGTTGACATCGGAGATGCTCCAGACGATGCCATCCAGATTCTCCAATGCTGTCGACTCAACGAGGTATGAGAAATTACAAAACGGCGAAGAGCTAATGGACCAGAGTAAGTCCTGTTCCTGCTGCTGAGTGGTGACCATTAACATTGTGCCCTCGCTGTAATATGCAGCATGAACTTGCTTCGGCTTATTGGTTGTTGCATTCGGCGTGTAACCAGGTGGCAGCCGAACATGCAATAGATAAATTCCTCTCGATGTCTCCATATCTCCTTGCGTCATTGGTAATTGATTATTTGGATTATTGGCCATGCCATAGCTGTCCGGCACATAGTTCAAATTCTGCTGTTGAACATTTAGGCGCGAGGTAGAGAAATAGAGACGAACACCGCATTGCGTGACAGCAACAAGGTGCAGGAAATTAGAGCTGTCTGGACTGAGAGGACAAATGGCTTTTACACTCTTGAAAATGGATGGATCAACCGTTCTGTAAATTATAAATTATAATTAGTATTCTTCTAAACTTCTACAGTCTGCCCACTTACTTGATCAAGTTAACCGCCTGGCAGGCTATATCATTTTGTGTAATCTTGCCCAGCCTTCGCATGGACGTAAAGTTCGTGCCAATGTGCCAAGCTTCGATGGAACTCTTTTCAGTTAGAACATAAAGCAAACTACGCCGATTATCAATCACAATTTTCTCAATAGGATCAACCTCCTGTAAGGTAAATTGTTAGTGATCAATTCCATTAAGATTTGTTATTACTTACCGAGAATAGTTTTAGAAAACTTGGCACTATGTAGGAGACCAGTCCCTGAGAATGGTTTATCTTCTTGCAGCGCTTGCCAAACCAACTCGATTCCGAATGATAATCAATTTCGTACAGACACCCATCCCGACCGCCCAAGAAGATGCGTCCGTCCTTTGTGCCTTCGATAGCATTTATGATAACATTATCGGTACTAAGAACGAAGAGCGGCTTATTCAATAGCTGCATTCGACTACTTTTTATTGTGCATCCTCTAGAATCCCTTTGCTCTTCGAATGTAACACCTAAGACAATCACTTCAATGGGCGTCGTCAGCAATAGCAGATACTTGACGTCATTGATTAAAACGCCCGCCTTTGGCTTTATCAAGCCAACGCTCAGAATTAAATGGCTTAGGCCATCGTAATAAGCCACGTCTCGCGTCTCCTCATATGTCCATATATATATATCCGAATCGATTGTCAACCAGGCGCGTCCAATGGCCGGAAACAAACCCATTATACAGTGGCATTTGATATCTAAATGAAGATTAGCATTAGATCTTAACTGATGATTGCACGGCAGAAACTATTTACGCTTAAAGTGCTCCAGGACCTCATTGGGTATACCGCATTTTGTGAGAGTTCGCAGTTGTTGTAGGTTATGTGTGTCGCCGGAGGTGAGTTGTCCCAGCGTTTGGTAGTCATAATCGTTGAGGCCGCTCATTGTTGCTCTTCCATGCTGGCTGATGCCTGTCAACTATTAAGTTTTGTTATAGTTTTAGATTGCGCCACTAAACAAAGCAATTTCTTTACATTTGGCTAGAATTTACCTCTAAAAGTTCCGGCTTATGTCTGTCTTGAAAGTCATAGCATTCAAGCATATTGCCTGCCGTCTGTAGGACATCTGGTGGCGATGCTGTGTTGTTCATATTTGTTAATCCGTTTACGTACACTAACTAAATTATTTAAATGTAATCAAATGTATATTCTCTTCGCCTAACCGTTTGGCCAGTTAAAATTTTGCAATCTAGCGCCGGTCGGAAAACAGAGTGATTTGCCCACGCCAGTCAGCTCCCGCCATTAATTTTTTTCTCATTTCACTGTTAAGTTAACATGTTACAAAATATGTTATTAACAGCACGCTTCTAAATTCTGTTATAATTTCGGCAGCCGCAGTTAATTTGCTTAAGATATCAACATCATAGAAAAATAATGCCTTATTTTCCCCTAAATTCCTATACATTAAATGTCGCTACTTGCAAAACATAAAATATCAGCAACTGTTAGCATTTGAAATAGCAGTGCTAATACAGAAAGTTTACATATCAGCTGTTCATGTCAACATCGTAATTCAATTGGGTTGGCAGCATCAAATAATTTCCCTCAAAATGTCCCTCATTGTTTTTCCGATACGGCAACCCTAAATGAAACGTCAAATATTTCCTTTCTTTTTCCAGCCTCTTTCCGGTCGGTCTGCAGTGTGTAAGTTTCTTAATAAATTGTGTACAAAATGAATTTTAAAACATCAACAAAATGGATATGCTTACTCAATCGCTAAGTGTGTTAAACGAGTGACAAATGAATTAGTTTGTTAAACATGTATATATTTGACCACAAATGCGATACATAATGAACCATATATAAATTTGTAAATTCATAATGAAACCTAGCTAATTGAAATGTTTTGTTTACGCGTAGCACAAGTAGAAGTGTATGATTATTGAATATGCATATGCAAACTTGTGATACAAATCTCTTTTCACTGAGATTACTATAAATGTATGCATTTATTTACACGTACAACTGTTTCTCATTCAAATATTTGTTTACCATTTTGCAGTGTCGCCAAAATGCGAACGATCAACTCGAATCAGTGTGTCAAGATCCCCAAGGATATCAAAGCCTCCGTCAAGGCGCGCGTGGTCACAATCACCGGCGCCAGAGGCACCCTGAAGCGTAGCTTCAAGCATCTGGCTCTGGACATGTACATGTCGGACAAACGCACCCTGAAAGTCGAGAAATGGTTCGGCACAAAGAAGGAGCTCGCTGCCGTGCGTACAGTGTGCAGCCACATTGAGAACATGATCAAGGGTAAGCGAATGTTAATAGGAATGGTTGGATAGCAATTTGTAATTTGTTATATTCTTAATTTTAGGAGTGACATTTGGCTTCCAGTACAAAATGCGTGCTGTGTACGCTCATTTCCCCATTAACTGCGTTACCTCCGAGCAGAACACGGTTATTGAGATCCGTAACTTCTTGGGTGAGAAGTACATTCGTCGTGTCGTGATGGCTCCCGGCGTGACGGTTGTCAACTCAACTGCCCAAAAGGATGAGCTCATCGTTGAAGGCAACGACATCGAGGCTGTCTCCGGCTCCGCGGCACTCATCCAACAATCGACCACCGTTAAAAACAAGGATATTCGTAAGTTCTTGGACGGCCTATACGTGTCGGAGAAGACGACCGTTGTGAAAGTAGAGTCCTAATGAAATCCGCATTGTGCTTCAATTGGAAGTTTTAATTAATAAATGAAAGCGCTGATGTAAACTTTACAACCTACATTTTGTAGTTGAAATAATTTATTTAAAAGACTTGAGTGTTGACAATGTTTGTCTCCGAGCTGCACAGAAGTAGACTACAATAATTTACGATGACAGGCATATTGGAATTCAAGTTTATTTAGATATACAACCATTTCAATACAAATAAAATAAAATAAATTGTCCAAGGGAATAGGTCGACAATGTGAAGTGTTCATCCAATTGTACTCAACAATTTTCCGGTCTTTCCAATTTCGTTCGAATTTTAATTGTCAACTATTTCACATGAAATAAATAAATATATGTAGTAGAAACTAAATCTGAGTATAGTTCCACATGTCATCTCCGGGACAGTCTTCTACTAGATCTTTAAAGTATATAGTGTTAGTCAAAGTAATATTATTACAAAAAGTATAGTTGATTCTCCAAGCCAGACGAGGGAGAACGATGAATACTTTCGGCAACTAGAAAAGCCAGCTTATGAGCATATTGACAGACGGCCGGTACACGGCAAGTGCCCGACCAGTTGTAGTATATGTGGGTCATCTTATATGACAGCATTTGCAGCTTGTCCGCCTGCAATCCCATGTTGTCGTGAATAACATTATAGCTTGTCGGAGAAACTGTGCCCTGGTGCACTGCCTGTGACACCAAGAAGAAATCATAACGTTCAGGCAGAGTTATTATATCGTCTATTACTGTCCCCGGTTCCGGGTTACGCATATTGACAAAGTAGCGTGTATTGATACGCTTAGTGACGACAATAAAAGCCATGCGACAACCTTCCTCCTTTCCAGCGGACTTGTAAATCTGATCCAGCTGGTTTTTTAAAAACTTTACCTCCGTGTTAACCACTTGGTACAACTGTCCATCGCCGACGCCATCACGGTAGAATAATATGCGCTCTGGTAGGGCGCCATGGTGCTCGCGATATGCCTTTAGGGCACACGTCATTTTCAAGGACATTTGATCGGACAGCTCCTGGCCCTTCATATGCTCGCTAACCGAAGAAAAGTAACGAGTAGATGACTTCATGTCCATTGTGGCCACCAGAGCACCATAGGATTTGTTCTTATTCTTCGACGAGTGGCAGACATCGAAGCCAACAGTCATCAAGCCACGAAGCGGCAGTTCAATCATCCACGGAGCGCCCATTAGCTTGGCATTCATTTGGATAACAACCTTCGTTGCAACCGACATCAGACCACTTGCTCGTTCGGGGCGTGGAGCAATCGTGCGAAGTGTGACCACTTGCGAGGGCACCGGACGATCGACACAAGTACGCTTCTTGATGCAGCTATATCTGTTTACCCACACATGCAAACGATTAGTTAGTATTTCCAATTAACTGTTTTACGGCTAAAAGCTTACTTCTCCTCGTTGTTGGTCTTCAGAACCAACATAATAATCTGTGGATCCCGAGCGACGGCGTTGTCAATCGCCTGCGAATAGTTGCCACTACGATCGTCTGGCATTTCATCGCTGTGCAATAGGTACAAATTATTAATTCACTTGACTTTACTTATTTAGCTTGGGCTCGTTACGTACTATCTTGGCTCGGAAATGTGCATTTTCATGCCGGACGCTGCACGGATGCATAATTTTACAAACTCCTGAGTCTCCCGGATGCTACGACGGGGCGTTATTACATACCAGCGCTTGATATCTATATGAGTGAACATAGAGTTACTGCGAAACTCAAATGTCCAATCAGCGCGAGCATCGCACAAAAAGCGCTTCTGATTGCCAAACACAATTTTTTCTGAGGGCAACACGCGTCCGGGTATCTCGACCAAAGACTTGTCCAACTCAATGTTCCAGGACTTCAGTACCTCGATGCTCTGCTGGGACTCTTGCAAACGTTGGTTAAAGACACGCAAGCGATCTATGCGACGATTGGGCATGAGGCGCGTATGCTCTCCCATGGCTTTCATTAATCTAGAAATAATACGATTTAGAATGTTGTAATTACACACAACATTACTGAATTACTGAAAGTTTGAGCGCATCTCATCAGTCAGTCCTGTAGCGCGTGCCAGTTCCGGTATCAACATGATCAATTGGTTAATACCACCACGAATGTTCTTCTGGGTGGGATGAGACACCAGAAGCGGTTGCTTATAATCGCGAATTGTGATGTTATAGCGCTATATAGAAATAATCATAAACAAAAGCAAAACGATATGTTTATTATTTGCAGTATAATAAAATTCTACTTACCTTCTTGTAGTACTCCACATAGGAAATATCTCCATCCTTGCTATTGAATGTAGACATGGGCGAGGCTTGAAAATCCACATCATCCACGCGATATGTTTTATTGTTGTAATCAGTCAAAACAATCACACCTGTTGCAAAATTATTAATTATTACAGCCAATATTCTTAGATAGCATTTAGTTTAATATAATTTACCAATCACTTCACGCTTGAAGGCCGCTTGATAGTCGTCGCTTTCGCGAATAACTTTCGATAGAACGTGATACAAGCTATCAGTTCTCATCACCTTGTGGGCGATCTCAGTGCACAACAGAATGTCCGATTCGTGTTGGCGAATGGAAGTTGTATAGCCGGGCCACAGCTCGACACGGAATCTATCCAAGACAATCTTTTATACGAAGCATTAAAGATAGAATTCAGATTATAATAGAGTACAGAGTAAATTGTTTAGAAATTTTTCTCACATAAATTTATGTACACATATATAATTAATGAAGTTTTACCTTTGCTTGGGGATCAAAAAAGTTACGTGATACCAGCTGTAGCTGAAGACCCTCCAAGGCACGTCTTAGAATCAGATTGAGCACTTGAAATTGCTGATTGTCTGCTGATTCCACGGTGCCCACATGCTTGATCTTGATCAGTATATTTTCACCGCCACGATTTTTAGTCAGCAGCTCCAATACATAAGGTGAGTTGGGAATTTGCTTGAACTGGGTTATGCAAAACAAGACTGTCCCGTCGAATATGTAGCCGCCAAGGAGCTGACGATGCTCACTCAACAGACCACGACGCAGTCTAGTATTATCCACGTCTGGGACAAAGTCAACACGATATTGATAGATGGTCCAGTTAGGTGGCTTCTTCACCTTAAAGTAATTGGTTTGCACAGTGATTTTGCGACCTGTAGAGCCAACTTTGGTGACCAGGCCAGTTGGTCGAGAGTGAACCACGTCTGATAGTATGCGACGGCCCCGAAGCGAGCCACGAGCATCACCTGCTTATCAAAAGTTAGTCAATTTGCATGTATGTTCAATATCTCAAATAGATGACTTTACCCTCGGCCCCTTCTGAGCAAAGATTTGCTTTTCGGATGTCATCCTGCTGACCACTCGATTCGGACGTGGTGCCCAATGGTTGACCCTAATAAAATTCAGATAATTCACATTTCATATATACTTGAATAACAATTAAGTCGACACTGTTCGCCTAATAAACCCCTTGAACCCCTCAAGGAACTGGTCAACTTCAATCATTCTTCGCTTCTTTAGACACGCATTAGACACGTAGACACTGAAACTCGTTTATTTGCCAAAGCACAAGTGTTTAGTAATTTAAAACTTTTTTTTTGCCAATTCTGTTGGATTAAATATCAATCACACCAAACAAACGGCAATAAGAAGTTCCGATGATATTGGTATTTGCAGTTGTATGCCGCGATAAAACATTTGATTGTAAAATATTATATTGATGTCATGTACATATTTGCTGCAATATCATACATATATGTACATACATACATATACATTAAAAACTTAAACTAAAAAAAGAAGCTAAATTGAATTGCAAATATGCAAATAGGCTAAATCTAGCCTGAAATAGGCTAAACTCGCAGCCCTGGACTCTAGCTCTAAAGCTTTTCGATCTTCGATTTTTGGAAACAAATTCAATCTGCTAGTGCAATAGACAGACCACTACATCAAAGCGCTTAAAAAGTTGGACAGACAGACGGACATGAAATCGATCCAGCTCGCCGCCCTGATCAAGAATATACATATTTATATACTTAATGGGGCCTGCCATTTAACAAAACTTTCATATATATTCCGATTTCCCATTTTCAATGGGTTCAGGGTATAAACACTATAAAATCAAAAATCGTAAGCAACGCGCGCATAAGAGTGAATACCCACATACACATAAAAAGAAAGCAGCAAACTTCCGTTATATTTTGACGTCGTTTTCTAAGACTTCGCGTACCGCACACATTCTTTTTCATATCCCCTTCTAAATTCATTCTGAACGAATATACACACACACACTGATACACATTAACTGCTGCAGAAGCTGGACGGAAATGGCCTATGCAAGCGAATTGATTGCACTAACACAGTTGCGCCGAAAAATCGAGCCTTGAATTTCCGTAAAAAAAAAAAATAATAATTATTATATACATACATATATATATGCATTCCACCGAATAAAGAAAGAATTTCAAAAAACTTGTATTTACATAGGAATATACATTAAATCCGCGAATTAAAAATTTTATAGTGAAATCAGACACAGAAATTACTTCAAAATATAATTTCAATTCAATCTAAGCTAAGTTGTAATAATTTTTTTTTATATATACCACATACCAATATGGGCGCCGGTCCACGATTCAAATCTTCATTGCGGTTAGTACCACGTCCACGTCCACGTGAATGTGCCAAGTTAACTGGTAAATTATTCATCCTTACACTCCAGAGGTCCGAATGCAAATGAAGAAAATTTGCAAATGAAGAACACTTGAGCTTCGGTTAGTCTTTCGTCGAAGACTCTTCGGTCATCTGTTAACATGGCGAATTTTAATGTTATTTACAGTACGAACCATTATACATACATACATATGTATGTAGCTGGAATGATTATTCAGCATTTTTAAGAATAATTAATTACTTTGCATCTATCTATCTATCGATGCTTTACAGCATCTATGACAGTTAAGGCATCCAGAATTAGATTATTTTGTGGATGGATTTTAAATAATGTACATACATGCACAAAGATACACATATGTATATATATTTGCAAC